ACTCCTAATCCTGAATATGTGAAATCTGAATTAAATAGAGTAGCTAGAGAACAGATTTTGATTCTAAAATGTCATTTGAGTTAACATGTACAAATCATACAGCCATAAAAAAAAACACTGTCCTTAACAAGTATTTTACTAGTTTTAACAAGCAGCACATATGACAAGAGACCAAAAGATTTTCCTCAGGGAAAAGAGAATCCCATGGTCCAGAGGACTTCTACAATTTCTTCTGCTACGCTTGGAGTGTTCATGTCTCGAAAACTTTCTCCACATTAGGCCCGGTAAGTAATACATGGGAACTTGAGTGTAAGCCATTTAAATATGAGGCATCAGATTTGTCTTCTGACAGCTAGAAACCAGTGAGATTATTGGCCTGGTTGATTGAAAATATTTGCTTTCATTAACTGTTATTTGTTGTTAAGTGCTGTTGAGTCGTGTCTGACTCATAATGAACCTGTATAGGGTTTCTAAGGACTGGCTGGTGGGTTTGGACCTCCAACTTTGTGGTTAGCAGTCCAGTGCTTATCCTACCACGCCACACCAAGACGCCATTAATGACTCAGAAACCCTATACAGGGTCACTATGAGTCAGAATCAACTCCCTGGCACTTAACAATATATGTTATAATAACTAATCCTCACAGTATGTATGAAATAGATTCAGTTATCAGTGTGTTTCTAAAGTTCATTCTTTTAAGCACTATCTTCATTTATAGATGAAAGCCGATCTTTCCAAAAAGCTGTAGCACAAATACCAGAATGACTCTTATAGTTTACAATTAAGCCAAAGGTTCCCAAATGTTTTACATTCCTTAAAACTTACGGACTCCAAAGAGCTTTTGCATATGTGAGGTTCTATCTATTAATACTTACTTACCATTGTAGAATTAAAGCAGAGGAAAATTTAAAATTTAAAAAGAATAAACTCATTATTAAAGTTTTAAATTTTAAAAAGTAAAATAACTTTTCCAGAACAGAAATGTTAACGTGAGGAGTGATATGGTTTCACATTTTCTCTTTAATGCTTGACTTAATCCTACATAGCTGGATGCTCATATCTACTTTGTATTAATTCTATCACATGTTATATAGCCTTTGCAAACCACTTAACTTGTACATTCCTGCGAAAAAGGCAAATAGCAGTATTGTTTTGAAAACACTTTTGACCTTGGTGTCCCCTGAGGAAGTGTTGGGGGTTCCTGGACTACACCTTTGTGAACTATTTTTTTTTTTTTTTATTAAATGTTTTTATTTTGGATTGAGTGAAACTTTACAGGGCACATCATCAGCTTCACATTCAACCATTCATATAGCTTGTTTCATTACATTGATTATTATCCCTCCATATATCATCAGTTAACAGTGTTTCTCTCTATCCTCTTTAGCATTTTTTTTTTGGGGGGTGGGGTGGGGTGAGTTTGTGAACTATTGAACAAAGGCTTGACTTATCTCCATTCTAGTTCATGGCCTTCAGAAATGATCCAGAATGGAGAAGTGAACCTTTGGCTGGACGACTATGAAAATAATGGAATAACTTTCAAATAAAGATTCCTAATTTCTGCTGACACCAATCTATTGACAGTAGTATCGTGAATCCACATATTAAAAGAAACACCTTCAATTAAGGCTGCCTTTTTTGTGCATTTTATTAATCAATGAGATTAAAAAGCTTATTGCACTTTTATTTTAAAAATACTTCTTGTATTAATTATTCTTTGTGATATCACCCAGTCATGTATTTTATTGTCTTTCCACCCAATTTCCCATATTTGTGCATTAAAATAACCTTTTTTTTTCCTGTACTACTTTTGGCTTTCAGTTAGTAACAGTGACATATTTCATCTTCACTTTCAGCTAGCAGTAAGCACTTCGCAGTAACTCTTTAGGCATTTTATAGGTGAGGAAACAAATGACCAGTTTAGGTCATTTGCTCTCTATGTAGCTGCATTAGGTATCTGTGGCTGTGTAACAAATTACCCTAAGAGTTGGTAGTTAAAAGCAATAAACAATGACGATTTCCATTTCTGTGGGTAAAGCATCTAGACACAGCTCAGCTGGGTCTTCTGGCTTGATTGGCAGTGGAGCTGTTTCCAAGTTTGTTCAGTGGTTTGGGCAGCATTCAGTTCCCTACAGGCTGTCAGACTGAGGGCCTCCCTTAGTGCCTGGCTGGATGTCACCCTGAGGCCACTCTGTTTCTTGTCATCTAGGCCTCTCCTCGGGGCATCTCACAACATGGTAGCTTGTTTCATCAGTAAGCAAAGAGGCAAGATTCCTTTTACAACTAAATCCTGAAAGTGATATTCTATCATCTCTGCTTTACACAGGCATCCCTGAGTTATGACATATTTGAGTTATGATATACTGCATTTTTCTGGCACAGCTTGTTAGTCATATGTACTATATACACACTGTGTTAAAATATAAAAGTTTGTATCTGAGGTTTCCAACCCCAAAGACAAAGATCACATTTATAAAGATGCTGATAATAAAGGCAATAGTAATGAAAACAACTAAAGTAAAAATGAGGTCCTTGACTTCAGAATGGAGTCAACCAGTCATTGGACCAGAACACACCAACCTAGCCAGTCATTATGTTCAGTCCACACTCAAAATGACACACCAAACTGCTTGGATCCTAGAAACCTCAGGAAAAAAATGTAAAAAGACTTGAAATATACGGTAGTGTCCTCTAGAACTCTGAGTCTTTAAAACTCAAGATCTTAAAACTGAGAGGAAAGGGAGTGGCATATGGATGGCCTTTGCAGTCTCTGCACCTGCTTCCTAAGGCCTATTCTATGCCTTCCTCTCCTTCCCAGGTGAGCTGTGGCTAGGAATGGCTGCATTGGGCAGGCTTATCAGTTACAGCTTACTGGCGAGTGGAGGCCTAGATAGTCCTGGGCCCAAGCACTGATACCACTTCTTAATTGGTCTGCCACTGAGAAACCACCACTTACCAAATACTCCTCTAAGCACCTACATTCTAGCTAAGAAATCTCAAAATTATTGTTTCTTCTTTGAATGTGTATGTATTAACATCTTATCCTTAGTTAAATATTTAAATAAGCTTAATTATAATACTAAAAAACCATCTTTGAGGCTTTTCCTTGTACTACAGGTTACTATAGGTAACAATGCAATATTCTAAGAGTTACAGATAACTTGCTAGATTTAACAAATGGTTTCTGTACTCTGGATTATACATAGCTAATGGCTGGCTAAGCCAATAAATATTGACTTACTTAACTGAGTGGAAGCCTGCTTGCTTTAAAATGCTGGAATTTCCCCCACCACCTTTTAACCTCAAAGCTTTAGAAGGAGTTTCATGTATTTTGACTGAAAGCTGTAGCTCGCTTACTAGTTGTATTCATCCCTTCATGTGTCACAAGTCCCCTTTCTCTTCATCACAGCAATACTTTCAGGAACACCTTTAAATCTACTTCTGTCAGTTTAAGGAGCCTTAAATTGTGGAAAAGCTGCTGCAAAGCAGCAATCTTGAAACATAAGCTCAATTATTAACACCATATATATCTCATGCACTGTGAAGTGCAGTTGAGCCGGTTCCAACCTATAGCGACCCTGTACAGGGTTTCAGAGGCGCGGTGGGTAGGTTTGAAACTTCTGACCTTGTGCTTCAAACAGACTTTGCAGTCTAGCACATTACTCTGCAGCACGACATCAGGACTCCAAGCAGTCAATAGTGGTCTCCTGGAATTCGTTTTGGTCTGGAAACCATTTAAAATGCTTACAGAAAACACTTCCATTCTTTTAAGTTCTAATGAATAGTTCCAGGAATCCTGGTGTGGTGCTGTGGGTTAATGTGCTGGACTGCAAAGTTAGTTTGAACTGCACTGTCGATGGTTCAAGCTCACAGCTGCTCCTTGGAAACCCTATACAGGGTCGCTGTGAGTCAGAACTGACTCACTGGCACTTAACAACAATGAACAGTTCCAAGAAGCAAAAAGAGGATATTGATCCAACCTCTGTTTTTATCAACAATTGAGAAATATTTGAGAATTAAGTGACTCCACTCCTTGTGGCAGACACCCAAAGGAAAGGTTGATTTCTCACATTGGAACGCAGTATCTATTCTCTTACCTTTTCATAGCTAAACCTTCAGGAAATTTATGCCAAAATTCTCTCTTTACTGCTGTTCCACCTGACAATTTACAACACCCTTTCTTATCTCACTTCAGTGACTGTGTTATCCTTAAGAACAATAACAGATTTATGGTTTGGGACACAGGTAGCCAAGCTGAAAAAACTGCAACTCTTGAGTCTGGCAAGAAAATGGTAGCACCTACAACAATTATTTAGATGAAACAGATAAATTCACACAAAGATAACCACCCAAACTGATGCAGCAAGAAAAACCTAAATAGATGTGTAACATGTTAAAAAGACTGAATTACTCATTTTGAAACTGCTACAGAGAAATGCCCAGGACCAAAGGTATCTTTGTCATTTTCTCTTCCTAGACTACTTGCATCTCCCCAAATCCCTACCAGATAACATAACTACAGACATCTCAGTTTAACTAATGTTTAATTAGAAATGACCATTTAGAGAAGTATAAACAGTAGGCAGTTGTCTTTTCTTCTATACAGATATAAAACAATCTTTAAGAGATTATGTTTAAGAAGGCTCTTCTATGTATTTTTAAGTCTGTTTCAGCTCTAAATATCTATGCCTCGTTTTTTAGGCACGGCAATCTAGGCACCTGTCTCAACAGGAGGCAAAACCTAACACAAAGAGGTAACAAGTCATCCAACAAAGCAACTGCTATTAAAAAAATAGAAAATTTAAAATTTCAATTTCAATTCTAGTGAAATAAATACCTAACTTTCTACAGGAATTTGAGACAGACTTTTAAACTAATCATGCCTTCGAGTCCAAGAAATGGACCCAGAGTTCCATGTTTGAATTTCTGCATGCGAAGCTGGGAACCACATCCAGGTACCTTTTGCAGCAAGATCCTCTTTTGTTTAGCATATTTGTGAAGTCCTTTATAAGAGTAGAAAAGGGCACTACGCTTCAATTCTACGTCAGTGTTAAAATTAGTCTCTCCCTCTTTTTCCTTTTCCTCTTCTTCTCTTCGAAGTTGCTTGTGGCATCAGCAAAAAACATAATTTCACTCTTTGCTTCACATTCCCTCTTGAGATAATCAAGACCAGCCATATTGAAGCCAATAATATCCTGGAGAGGAAGATAAAGAAAATTAAATGACTTTTCTCCACTCAGACTCCTGTCTGAGTCAGGAGAACTGACACTATCGGTGGTGGTTTTCACCTTCCCTCTCTAAGATGTTTCCTTGGGCTTTTCTATTCTTACTGGCTCCAATTAAAAACAAAAAAACAAAACAAAACAAAAAACCCATCTCAAATGAACTTCTTGCCAAAGACAAGGCACAGCATCCTACAATATATTTCCAAATTGCACATATTTTTCTTACATTATTGTACCTCAACAAAGATACTTACCCGGACTTCGCTAACTTTTGAAATAGTTGTTTCCTTTAATTTCTCTATCACTGGCACAAGCATTTGGTTGCTAGTAATCTGCCCAAAGTGAATTCTATAAAAAATTAAAAACAAGCATATGGTAAAAGAGGATCTGGTGGTTCTAGAAATAAAAAATGCATCCTTACCAACATTATCAATACAAAATGGAGTGTAAACACATAAATAGTAAAAAGAAACCTGTTTACCTACTATACTACTCAATTCTATCTGCTGAAATTTTTTAAAACAAACTTTGCTATACGCAACTCATTTGCGACACTTTCCCTAGGTGTGGTGCTGAAGTTTAAGTACAGAACTGCAATATTGGTTGGAACCACAAAGCCAGCGTTTCAAGCTCACCAGCTGCTCCTCGTCAACCCTATACAGGGTTGGAATGAGTCGGAACCGACTTGACAGTCGACGGCACTTAACAACTATTAGTCAACCAAAGATTTTGACAATGCTGTCTCTGTATAATATCCATATGCCTAGAAGAAAGACCAGTTAATATTGCTATTATTCAAATGCATACACCAACTACTAAAGCCAGTGATAGTGAAACTTAAGAATTCTACCAACTTCATAATTCTGAAATTGATCAAACATGTAATCCAGATGCAATGAAGAAGGGTCCTTAGCTGAAAAACAAGGCCTTGGTAATAGAAATCATGTTGGAGATCGAACACCATAAAGAATGATTAATTCACATGGCCCTCACCAGATGGCATATACAGAAACCAAACCAACTATACTTATGGGAAGAAATGGTGAGAAAGCACCAAACCATCAACCAAAACAAGACCAGGTGCAGACTGTGGTACATATCATAAACTGCTCATATGCAAGTTTAGGCTGAAGCTGAAGAAAATTGAAACAAGTCCATGAGAGCCAAAAGATGACCTTGAACACATCCCACCTGAATTTAAAGACCATCTCAGGAACATAATTGATATATTAGACACCATTAACTGAAGACCATTAGAGTTGTAGGATGTTATCAAGAATATCATACAGGAAGGAAGCAAAAGGTCATTAACACAAGATAGAAGGAAAAGACCAAAATGGATGTCAGAAGAGACTCAGCACTGAGATGCTAAAGCAAATTGAAGAAATAAAGAGGTAAAAGAGCTGAACAGAAAATTTCAAAGGGTAGCTAGAGAAGGTAAAGGCAAGCATTATAAGGTTATTATGAAATGTGCAAAGACCTGGAGTTAGAAAAGGGAAGAACATACTCAGCATTTCTCAAGTTGGAGAACTGAAGGAAAAATGTAAGCCTCAACTTGGCACTACTGAAGGATTCTGTGGGTAAAGCACTGTGGGTAAAGTACAGAGAGCATCAAAAGAAGACAGAAGGAACACACACAGAGTCACTCCCAAAAAGAAATGATTGATGTTCAGCCATTTCAAGAGGTAGCATATGATCAAGAGTCAAGTGAAGAAACAAGTCCAAAGTGCACTGAAAACACTGGCAAAGAACAAGGCTTTGGCAATTGATGGAATACAACTTGAAATCTTACAACAAAACGATGCAGCACTGGAAGCACTCTCTCATGTACGCCAAGAAATTTGGAAGACAGCTACCTGGCCAACTATTGGAAGCAAACCATATTTGTGCCCATTCCAGAGAGGTGACCTAACGGAACGTGGAAATCTCAGACAATATCATTAATATTACATGTAAATAAAATTTGGTGAAGATAATTCAAAGATGGCTATAACACTGTATCGACAGGCACCTGCTAGAAACTCAAGGTGGATTCAGAAAAGGTCGTGGAATGAGGGATCTCATTGTGGGTGTCAGATGGATCTAGGCTGAAAACAAAGAACACCAGAAAGATGTTTACCTGTGATTCATTGACTCTACAAAGGCTTCTGAATGCCTTGATTGTGACAAGCTATGGACAATACTGTGAATGATGGGTATTCCAGAATACTTAATTGTACTCATGAGGAACCTGTACATAGACCAAGAGGCAGTTGTTAGAACAGAGCAAGGGGATATTTAATGGTTTAGAATCAAGTAAGGTGTGCAACAGGATTGTAGCCTTTCACCATATTTTAACTATATGCTGAGCAAATAATCCAAAAAAGATGGATTATATGAAGAACTCATCAGCAATCTGCGATATGCAGATGACACAAGCTTGCTTGCTGAAAGCTTAGTGAACTTAAAATACTTAGTGATGAAAATCATAGACTATAGTCTTCAGTATTGGTTGCATTTCAATGTTAAGAAAACAAAACTCCTAACCACTAGACCAATAAATAACATCAAGAAAATGGAAAAAGATTGAAGTTGTCAAAGATTGGATCCACCACTAACAATCATGGAGGCAACAGTCAAGAAATCAGATGATGTATTAGGCAAATCTGCATAAGACCTCTTTAAAGTGTTCTAGACTAAAGATGTTACTTTGAGGACCAAGGTACACCTGACCCAAGCCATGGTATTTTCAACTGCATGTGAACATTGGACAGCGAATAAGGAAAACTGCAGAAGAATTGATGTTTTTAGGAGGGACCAGTCCCTGTAGAAGGACATCATGTGTGTTAAAGTGGAGGGTCAGAGAAAAAGAGAAAGACCCTCAAGGAAACTGACTGACCCAATGGCAGCACCAATGGGCTTGAGTGTATCAACAACTGTAGGACCAGGCAGTGTTTCGCTCTGTTGTGCATTATGATTCAGAACCGACTTGATGGCACCTAGTAAAAAGAGCAGCAACCTCATGATACATTCTATTTTCCTTAGTTTCCCTCTATATATACAACTTTTTTTCTCCTCACGCTTGGGGAAATAAATGAGCATTTCTTAAAATGCTGTTATGGAAATGAAATCAAAACCATTTGGCTTACATGACATAATTTTAAAGAAATGACAAATTAAGTAATTTGGAAACTGAATAGAACCAGAGTTACAACATTAGTCTCCAACCATGAGTCATATGATGAAGCATTCCAGAACTGTATTAGTTAATTCAAAGAGGTGGGTCATCACTATTCCTGTTTTAAGGGCTAGACTGATGCCAAAAGATAAGGAATAATGTTTGTCAAACAGTACTTTACTTTTGTGAAATGGTCTCAACCTCAAAGCTTTGGCAGCAGCTTTCGTTAACTTACTATCAGAACCAGTTAGACTGAACACACATGGTGTCCTTCAGTACCTGAGGAGAAAGAAGAGGCATCTACACAGAAGTTCAACATCAGAGCCCTGCTGGATGAATTCATTGAAGAGTTTGAGTATGTCTGGGACGTAAGAGAATGGTAGCACAAGGAGAGATTCTTCTAGTTCACTGAAGGAGGGGAAAAAAAACCACACACACACATTTAAAATGCTGTATTTCTTAACATAGTCAACTTTTAAATCCTTCCCCTTACTATTTTTTCTACTTGAAAAGATTTTGCCTATCCAGAGATTAACATTCATCTGTATCATAGATTTTCAAAGAACGTTCTTTAGAACGTATTTTGCCAGTTTGAAAGGGAAAGTGATTTGGCATAGTGAGAAAATCTGAATTTCCCCTCTGCCAAATAACCAACTTCTCCTGTCTTTTGCTGAACATTCCATCTTGTCTCTCTATACTTTTGCCCATCTATGGGGTCTTAGAACTGTGGAGTCCTTTTCAAGGATTCTGATACCAGCCTTCCTCTAATAACTGCTGGTCTTGTAGCTCTGTAACAAAACAGAATAATTCCCTCTTGTCATGGTTCTAAATTATTTTACTTTCTAGAACTAGCTCTAGTATCATTTCACCAATTCCAATTGTAACTATAAAGTTATAAAATAGGTTAAGAAAAATTAAATATTTATAACAGTCTTCCCATCTAGGAATGTGTCATAACTCCATTAATCTAAAATTTCTTATATACTTCTCAAGTATAGTTTTATCATTTTTCTCACCTAGGTCCTATTTATTTATTGTTGTTGTTGGCTGTGTGCTATGGAGTCAGATCTGACTCATAGCGACCCTGCACAGGGTTTCCGAGGCTGTAAATCTTTACGGGAGCAGAAAGCCTCATCTTTCTCCCGTGGAGCAGCTGGTAGTTAGAGATGTATTTATATACTAGGATTTGTTATAAAAAAAGATAACCATAAATTGGTAGAACTCAAATAAAAATCACAGACATGAAAAAACTATTTATAAAAATACATGGCAGAGCATATAAAGAAATCGTAAAAGCCGGTATATTTTTAACTACTAAAGAGCATAAAAAAGATATTTAAAGTTCACAAAACTCAATAACTGTCCAATAAGTAAAAATTTAACTTTTCTAATAAGCAAAAGAAATGGAAATAATATAAAACTACCTTTCTCTTTCAAACTGGCAAAGTATTTTTACAATGTTGGTAGAAATCAGCACAAGCCCTGTGGGAAGCAAGTCAGCAACAGAAACCTTTAAAAAATTCATGCTGGTTAATCAGTCATTAAACCACTGCACAAAGACAAGTGTAAGGGTTTTCAGTGGAGCAGTATTTCTTTCGACATTTTTTTTTAAACTCTTTATTTTAAATTGGGTGAACACTTAGAGGAAGTTAAAAGTCCACCCAACAGTCCATACATACTCTGTCATGGAGAGATACCCCACAATGTAACTACTTATCCCACCTCCTTCCTGAGTGAGTTTGTCATTTCCATTCCTTAAGGTCTTTCCTCACCCTTCTCAATTTTGTCCTTGGGCAAATGCTGCCATTTTGATCTCAAAGGGTTGATTACTCAACAAGTACTTACCCCACCCCCTAGTGCTATTGTTCCCCTGAAAAACTTGTCTGTTCATTGGCTGAAAACTGAGTAACTTGGGCGAGTTCAGTTCCAGACCTAAAAGGTGACTAAGGTCCACAGCCTCAGGGGTCCTACTAGTCTTTCACCAACCAGTAAGTCCGATGATCCTTTTACGATTTTCAGTTTTGTTCCACAATTTTCTCCTACTTTGCATAGGACCTTCAAATGTAATCCCTCTCAGAGCAGTTGGTGGTGGTGGCTGGACACCGTCTAGTTCTTCTGGTCTCAGAGCCATAGAGGCTGATGTTCACGTGGTCCACAGTCCACTGGACTAATTGTTTCCAAGCTACATTTTCTTCACTCTTCCTTTTTTCAGACACAGAGAGCACCCAATAGTTGCATTTCCGATGGCTGTTTATGAGTTTATATGACCCAAGCTGCTATACACCAAAAGGATGTACAACACTGTCTTTGTGGACTATATTATGACAAGTGAGCTTGGTGTCCCGAGACTGTGGTCCTGGGGCTCTAGGTCCAGCGACTCACTCCTTTAAGGTGTTTCGTTACGGTTATAAAGTTTTCAGAACTTTGTAGCCTGTATGCGCTACCATACTCAAAGACATATTTGAGCATAGGTAAATACGCGTCAAGTATCCTCTCAAGCCTATGTGTCTACTTGTAAGTATAATCCCATTCTCTCACTGAAGTGTTATTGATAACAGCAAAGAAGGTGGATGTTAGGAAATTACTGATGGATGTCACTCATCCAACATAATATTTTGACTTGATTCAGTGATGTATTTTTGAAGATTAGTAAAATGAGTAAACACATAGGATCGTATTATGTCAAAAAGAGGACAGAAAGCTACAGTATGATTCCAGCTGTGGATGTCCACAGAAAATATGCCAAATGAAATATATTAACTAAAGTTAGTGTTAACAGGTGGTACTTCTGATCGAATTAAAAATTACATCATTATCTATGACTTAAAGGAGTACCACCATTCGTCTGTCCTAATACTTAAAAAAGGTTAAAATGAATTATTTTCATTAAAATGTGGATAGTTAAACCTATAAAGAAGATGATCATCAGTTATAAATAACCTCTTTTTTCCCCTTAGGTATTCTTTCCAAAATATAGGCCCTTTGAACTCACCTTGACTTGATTCCTTTAAAAATCTCTAATACATAAGCTGAAGGCTGTAAAAGAAAAATAACACCATTAATGATACTCTTGGTTTCTAGTGGACTTCTCTGATTTCCACCTCCTTAAAAACAGAACCCCTCTCTTTTAATACTGTCCTAACATGGAAGGAATTAGCCAGCTCTGGGTTCCCAATCCAGTTGTCACCTACCAGTTATGTCACCCTAAATTTAGAAGTCAGTCCAGTTTCTGTAAGTCTATAATGAAGACACTGACTTACATGATTATTGAGAAAATGAATGAGATATGCAAGTTAAATATTGAACAACTAGAGATTTCTAGTTGGATAAACATTTCTCCATTGATTTCTGTCTCCTTCAATTTATCTAAGGGATTTACAGCACACTTTTCCTCCAAAGACTTCAATTACAATGTTCACGGACATGAATAAAATCTTCAAAGAGCTTTGTACACTAAGCATAAACACCAGAAAACAGAATGATAGTACAGTACAACCAAAAAAACTGACTTCAATGTTATGCTAAAGTGAACATACTACTACTTAAGAGATCTATTTCAAGCCCAAGTGTTTTCCAATATATCCAGCCCCCAAATCACAATGTCTCTTCATTTTCTCTTTTGTCCCATGAAAACCACCTGTGAATAACCAAGGAAAAATCATTAGATATGTTACTTACTGAGATATTGCCATAAGCCATCAGGATGGGGTTGATAGGACGAGCAACCTATGAAAAATAATTAAATCACTAAAAACAAGACTTTTGATAGTGCTTACTATACACAGGGTGATAACAGTATTTTGTAATTTTGAAAACAGACTCTAAAAACTAAGTCTAAAAGAATTTTCAGACCATTTAGTTTTTACAGTACTCACAAATGGGTGTGCACAAAACGTTGTTGTTAAGTGCCGTCAAGTTAGTTCCACAGTCGGACCCATAGCGACCCTGTATAGGATTTCCGAGGAGTGACTGCTGAGCTTGAACCGCCAACCTTGCTGTTCAAAGAGCTTTGCAGTTTGGAGCATTTTCCCACACGCTAAACATTGGGCCATATTAAATTGTCCTAGTGTGGCACTGTGGGATAAGCAGTGGACCTCACGGTTGGTTTGAACCACAAGGCTGGTGGTTCAACCTGCCAGTTGCTCCTCAGAAACCCTATATACAGGGTCACTATGAGTCAGAATGAAGCTGATGGCACTTAACAACAAATACCTGAAATGGTTACCTTGTCCCCCACACTTGATAATTTAACCAACATGATTCTCTACTCAATATAATATTAACTTCAATCTATCATTTCCTATCCATTTGAGTAAGAGCAAGCATCCTTCCCACAATTCTTCAGGTCTTTTTAAAAAATATTTAAATGACAAGTGATTCTATTACTTTTGTCTCATTTCCGGAGCCAAGTTAATACACCTGGGACTATTTTATTTTACCTCTTTCCCAGCAGCTTTACAAATGGCTTTGTGTTCTTTCATTTTTGCAGTTTCTTCTCGGTATAGCTCAATAGCCTCCATGATCCTCTCAGCCTGCAGAGATGGCAAAAGGCAGAAATCCTTACAACACACGCATCCTCTGAGGACGTGGACACTACAAGACCTCACTAGAAATCTACCAAAAGCCAACAGCTTGATAGAGTATAATAAAGATGTGCCTAGCAGTACTGAAAAGACTTTGGTTTTTCCTTTATGACTCACGGGGAGGGGACTAAGACTGACGGACTCAGACACCTTGAGTAGGGCAGCTCACAGGAACACCTGCAAGGTGCTACTTTCAGGAGGAGCTCGGCTTTCCTTTCTAGAAACCATGTATCAATCAGACAGATTGAGGACTCCTCCTGTCCCTGACTATACCAGGGAAGAAGACAGAGGCTATGATCACCATCTTTAAATCTCAGCAATTTTTGGGCACAAAGGGATATTTAACTGATGAAGAGTAAGACTTTTCAAAACTGAGATACTGCAGTCAGTACCAACTTACTGCTTTGATGGTTTCAATTGTTTTCTTTCCAGTAAAGTAGTTGTCACCTTGAGTTTCCCCAGGAACCTGCCAGAAACAAAAAGAGATCGTTGAATAATAACAAGAGTTAAAGAACCAAAAAATTGATCTACATCTATGAAAGAACTGGCTTTATTATTTTATGACAATGGTAACAATCCTATCCTCAGCCATTAGTTGACTGCTACCCTAAGTTACAGAGTCTTGGTGTAGCCTTGTAAGGTAAAACACTGGACTGCTAACCTCAAGGTCACAGTTCAAAACCCACCAAGCTGTTCCTCAGAAACCATGCAGGGTTTCTATGAGTTGGAACTGACTCAACAGCACAAAACAACCACCGTAAGTTGCAGATACTACATTACGTATTTATCATAAGCACATTCTGCTTCTACAAATGTTTAAAGAGAATGTCCAGTTCCTTAAGTCTTAAAAAAAAAATCCCTTGTCCCATAAAACCAGGTTGTACAGTCAAATAAGAAGTACTACTGATTCTTTCCCACACCCGCTGGTCATGGTTTTGGCATCTAGCTCCAATTCTAATCCCATAGGCAATTTCAGTAAGACAACTAACAAGGTAAAATCCTAGACCCCAAAGATTTACTTACTGCTGGTTGGTCTTCTTTGGCCACACTCTCCTCATATTCCGCTTCCCTTTGCTGTCAAGGGATAAATACAGGTCTGTATGAGCAAAAACTGTGGTCACTACGTAAGGTGAAAATGAGGCAGTGAGAAGCTGCTTCTTTCAAAATATAATCACTAATGAAATCTTTGTCTCTGCCTGTCTTCTGAAATGGGTGACAGGTCTTAGAAGCACACCTCTTTGTAGTTCTTAAAGTTGCAATTAGTGAAGTGTGAATGAACTACACACAGAGAACTTCTGCTGGTAAAGTTTGCCTGATACTCATTAGCATACAAGAGGGCCTTAAGAAGTTCACGGAAAAATAGAAAAACCATAGAATTTTTCCATGAATTTGGAAGCCCCTTTATATTTATACCCAAGCCTACATTCTTACCATCTCCCTTTCTTCTTCAAGAATAAGTGGCTCCCTTGTTCTCTCCCAAAGTCTCAGAGATTTGTCATGAGAAGATGACACAACGTAGTCTCCATTGGGGCTTACAGCCAAGCACCATATTTCCTGGTGGTGCCCCTAAAGAAAGAAAACAACTGTGAGTCAGCATGTTTCATGGACCACTACTTGCTTACTTGAGTGAGCGAGCAACACTCGATCTTAAAGGTACTTTTAAAGTACTGACCAAACAGAGCAACTAAGTTTACCTCTAGAGTTTGTATGTGTTCAAATTTGTCTGCATCCCACTGCTTAATCTTATGGTCTTTCCCAGCAGTGAAGAACAGGTGAGATTTCGGCACAAACTGTAGGTACATCACACTGAAAAGTGAAGGAAGTATTCAAATGTCATCAAGGTTCGGTTAGTAAAAAGAGTTTTAAACAGACACAAAATGTTCCCAGATATAGCTTTAGAACAGGTAGTTCTAGAGTGTCAGATGATTTACACTGTAGAACTTCCCAATTTCTCACTAGAACACTAAATAACAGCTAAGACATGTAAGGGACATGATATTTGAGAAGACCTACACTTACCTGTCATCATGTGCAAACAGAGACTTGTGGCAGTCCCCAAAGTCCAAGCCCCAGATCTTCACATTCCTATCAGCAGAGCCAGTTGCTATTAATGTCCCATCCTATGACAACAAGGAGTGAAACACGATTTGATTATCTGAACACTGTAAATTAGGTAGAGAAAAGCTAACAAGAATACTTAATCTATTCCTTCCAACAACAGAGCACAGAATTATTCACTTTTACTACAAATCTACTTAAAAAGCTTGGTCAAATGAAAGCCAGAACTCTTCGGTTTACATATTTTACAACTACCACAGTATTGTGATAAGTTTTGATATAGGTTTATCTGTTTACTTTCTTAAACAGACAGGAAAAAGGATCTTTAGTATCTCTGGGGTTTGAAAGGAGAAAAGGAAAAAGAGGGAAAGAGAAGGAGAAAATGAGGCTGGGGTAGAATCTACTTGAATGTTTATGACCTGGCTTATCCTATGCTTCCATCACTGTGTCTCTTTCACATTTCAATGTCTCGCTCAGACTTACTCTTTTAGTGCCACTGATAATAAGACAGCTAGAAAATGAGTCCAATTACTTTCATACAGAATACAAATTTTTTAATTATACATTGCTATTCAATCACAACTAGGCATCTTTTAAAAAATACGATTTTGGTAAGAGACAAAGTAGATACAATGTAAAATACCATAAATGTCTAAGTATAAAGTTCTTTTCTCCTCAATAATACTATCCTTCAGAATACAATGTCTTTCAAAGTTCAAGGTGTTATACTAATTACAGTGTATTCCAGAATAAAGTATTATTTAGGGATGCCACAAAAGGGAGTTAGCTATGAGAACAATTTGTTTTTAAAAGCATTCTAAAAACACTATGTTGTTGTTGTTATGTGCCATGGAGTTATATATATTTAAGATGCAATTGTAACATATATTCTTTTCTGATTATTTTTGGCAATCAGATTATCTTAATGATGTGAATTAAAAAATCTTATGCTGAGAACTGAGACACTGCCTGTTTTAGGAAACTCATGATTACTGAGATACTCTGTCTGGCACTGTAGGATCAGCACTGGATGGTGGAGCACAAAGTCAGCAGTACAAAGTCTGCAGCTGCTCCTCGGAAACCTTATACAGGGTTGCTACGAATCAGAACTATCTCGATGTCACTTAACAACAACAACATCGAAGCTTTAGCAGTCCTGGTGGTGAAGTGGTTTACACATTGGGCTGTTAACCACTAGGGCAATGGCTAGAACCCACCAGGTGCACTGCAGTAGAAAGAGGAAGCTTTCGGCTCCCCTAAACATTAACACCTCAGAAACCCCATATAGGGTCGCTATGTGGCAGAATCGACTAGATGGCAGTAGTTTTTTTGTTTGTTAGTGTGTGTATCTAAGCTTTACTTACATAAGAGATGTCCATGCATAGAACAGGCAGTTTGTGTCCATACAATGAGAGAAAAAACTAAAATTAAAAAAAGAAAAAAATTACACAACATTTGTCTATAAGACAAAAGAATAATTTATTATATATGGGTCTAAAATTGAATTTTACATCTATAAACACTTTTTGGACTGCTTTACATGATATTTTCAAAGACAATTAAAGCCACCAACAGTGACTTGTTACAGAGTACTTGTATGTATTTGCTGAGAGTTCTGTGACAGAAGGAAGCCAAGGATGCCCCTGGAAGCCTAGTATCTCAGTGAGATTATAGCAAAGGGGTGTTCTTGGGATCTCTTAGCTTAAAAAACTCTGGGATCACTTGGACAAATATGCTGCCAGGTTCAATCCAGCCCTGCTCTCTGGGTCCCATTATAGACTGTCCGACCACAGGGCCCAGTAATGTCAACGCTGAAAGCCACCCCCATGACCTTGATGTGTGGAATCACTGCCAGGATACCTATCAATAGAGCTCTTAAAACTAGTGGCTACCACAGGATCTTCTTTCTACCCACAGGAATCTGAACATGTGAAATACGACTTGCTTTCAACAATATTTATGACCCATAGATTTCTCCTAAAATTTGAGCTTCTCTAGACTCGTTAGCACTTAACAACACACGAGCATATCAAACAGTTTAGTTCACACACAAATTTTCGAAGTGCAGTTGCTGGGCCCAGTCAAGTCAACTTCTTTACAATCGCAACGCAAGTTCTAAGGTCAGTCAGGAAGAAAGGAAACAGTCTCAGGCATAACCACTGTACCTTCAGAGTGTCAACGTAGAAAATTTTCACAGTACAGTCCAGCAACGACACTGCCAACAGCTTTTGATTGGGAGAGTAACTGACACACAGGACATCCTCATCTAGTTGCAAGGTTCGGGTTTGCTTCACAGAAAGTCTAGCATCATAGAAATCAAGAAAAAATAAATGCATTCTCAACAGACAAATTTAAAAACTCTACAGAATCCTGACCTAAAGGGGGTAAATGCAGAACAGAATTCCAAATTCTCATCGAAACCACGGTTCCTGGAGCCACTGAGATGTAATGATCCCTCAAATCTATTTGCCTGAGAATTGCATGTCTGGCCTAAGTACTATGCACTTTCAAATAACAATATGGAATCAAATGGACAACAGCAATCCAAAGTTAGATAAGAAGCTTCAGGGGAAATGAGTTTATGTTAATGGTGGTGTAATAATTTGGAAAAGGACAGTGAGGACGAATATAAAACCTGAAGAATGTAATCAAAATTAAGTAAACTGTACATGTAGAAACTGGTGAATTGGTGTATGTTTTACTGTGGATATTTTTACCCACACATGCAAACTGAAAAAAACTCTCCTAAGTTCAAATGAGTACAGTAGATAAACATTAAAAAGCCAGTCAATGGCTTCCTATTTTTGCTTCAAAAAAAATAAACAGAAATGAAAAATGTCCACCTACCTCTTTTGGGCACTATTTTTATCTTTCACCAATTCAAAATCCCAGAACTTGACAGTTTTATCTGCACTGCCTGTCACAAAACCACGCTGAAAATCAAATGACATTTCAATTACAAACTGCTTTAGGTAGCATAGAAACTGAAAAATCCAACAAGATAATCTTTCAATATTAATTTAAATTACATGGGGTTGATAATTAAAATATGGCTTTCCCTAACCCCCTTTATTGCCATTTGGAGCTGTTACCACAGACCTTACATGAGAATTCTCAGCAGACTAAAGTAGGCAGATGTAAAGTCTTAGTTTTACTTTGTTCAATATCAGAAAGAAACAAGCTTAAAGAACAAGGTGGGGTTTTTGCACCACCTATGACGATAATCTGTCAAGAAAGTTCACTGCTTTGTTCTACAAACAGGCACAGAAAAGATTACTTCTAAGTACATTTGTTCAAAGTATTCACCTTAAAAGGGGCAAATTAATTCCTACACTGTTGTTCCTGCTTAAAACAGGTTTGAAATTGTTTTCTTATCAGAAGAAAATTAGTCTTGGTAGAATGCAGTGTTAGTAGAAAGTAAATAAAACATGGTGCCAGGAAATTGGACTTCAGATACCTATTCAGTCACTTCATAGATGTTTAACACAGGAAATAAGTATGGGAAAATGATCTAGTTTATAAAACTATTGTAAAACTAATGACATGGATGTGTAAACACCTTGAAAAACATGAAACATTATATATGACATCATTATTATTTGAACTTCATTTTTTTTAAATTCCTGAAAATGTTCCAAGCAGCAGCAGCAGCACTATGAATAGACTTGGTACAGGGTTCCCAGCAGGATTCCTCTGAAGGAGGCACATGTTACTCATTTGTAAGGGCTGGCATATTAGCTAAAATTCCCTGTCTGATAGTCAGAGACATTTAGACTTACTAGAACAGGAAAGTCTATTCTATTCTCTGCTTTGTATTTCCCAAGAGAATACTTCTCATATTTCTCCTCCACCAGAAAAAACTGAAAGCGTAAGCAATCTGATGTCATGTAATTGATTATTAAGAGTAGTTGTGCAAGAATTCATTTCATAACAGTTATTTACATGATCAGGCATATGATATGGTAGTATACCTAAAGATAACACAAAAAGCAGGCTTTAAAAAAGTCAGAACCCCTGAGAGAAAACTTTGTTAAGCTGCAGCAGAACGCTGATGTAAGCAATGGGAAATGCAGCCAGAGTGATGAAGCCCAGTTATCTGCAATGTGTGGTCTGGTTACCTGATCTGGAGAGAGGGACATGGACCACAAAGCCCCATCGTGTGCATCTATCGTCTCCAGCAGATTTCCGGAGGCCAAGTCAAAAAGCTGCAGCTTCCCTGTCTAAAAAAAGACAAACTGAGCACGAACACTTCTAATGGGCATACATACCTACAACCTCTTTGATTCATGCCTTAAGAAAAGAATGCACGGCCAAGCACCAAAAATGCAGTCAGTTTCCTAGGAAATGCATCTCAAATTCTGTGCTCTATATTCCCTACATCAATGCCATTAATGCCCCTCTTGACATGCTGCGTTAACTTTGGCAGAACTGCCACGGTTTCTAAGTATGTAGTAGTACAGCCTTGGGATACTGGACTCTGGAAGGGAAATATCATGGCCACAAGCAAATACAAATACATCTAACAGCAAATGAGAATCCTGGTATAATGCTGTAGGAAAAGCAGTGGACTGTTAATGGCAAGCTTGGTGGTTCACAGTTCATATAGGTTTACTCAAAAACCCTATACATGGCCTCTATGAGTCAGAATCAACTTGATGACACTTAACAACAACAAGAAGCAGCAAATGACAAACATAAAGCCATTTAAGTGAAAGAGGTGCTCCTGGGTGTTTTAAGTGGTTAAATGGTTGGCTTTTAAATGAAAGGTTGGTGCTCTGAGTATACCCAGAAGTGCCTGGGAGGAAAGGCTTATTTATTAATCAACTTCTGGAAAATCAGTCATTGACAAGTGTACGGAGCACAGTTCTACTCTGACACACACAGGCTTGCCGTGAGCTGGAATCAATTCCACACCAACTGGTTTGTTAGGTTTTAAATGGGGTCTCCTTGTTACTGGTGTAGCCAATTCTACCCCATTGAGTTTTGGTTACAGTACATTGACAGGGACAAACAGGGATCTAGGACTAGTGCTAGGGAGACAATAAACTAACAAAATCACAGGAGCTTAGAAAATCGTGCTTCCACAGCTCCTGCTGTGAGCTTTGTGTCGATGCCAGGATCATGGTGTCACATCTCACACAGAGACAAAGCCTGAACTGTGATGAGCGTCTGCACAATGTGGTGCCAAGAAGGTAAGCTCAAAGACTTGCCTCCCAGGACTGCCTCTTTCCAACCCTGGAAGCACTGGCAAGTTCATCTCCGTTAACCTCTGTAAGCCCTTATGGAGATTAACTGGGATGTTAGGTTAGGGGCTGTCGAGGCAGCTCTGATCCATAGGGACCCTACATCTAATAGAACAAATGCTGCCCAGCCCTGTGCCATCCTCAGAATCACTGCTGTTTGAGCTCACTGGTACAACCACTGTGACGATCCCTCTCATTCAGGGTTTCCCTGTCTTGGGCTGACACCATCAAGTGTGACTTGGGATTGATCCCTGTTATGACATGTCCAAAGTAATCGAGATAATACTCTTGCTTCTAAGGAGCATTCTGGTTGAGACTGTGCATATTAACTGACTAGGCTAGGGTCTGTGTTTCAGTCACATATGTAGTTTAGCGGACGGACATCTGTTAGAATGAATGAAAAATGAGTGAAGTTACCAATTGAAATGCTAACACTACTACCTTGACAATGACCCTAACTTCTCCCCAGCCTTTATTATACTTTTTGCTGGGTAAGAAATATCCACTGTGATTCACAGGTTTGCTAATCTTTCCCATTTACTATTTTTTTTTTTTTAATTATTTAATGAGGGAAATGATGCTAATGTTTGCAAAGTACTTTTCAAAACATTCCACAGATCAGTAATTCATTTTGTTCTCACTACTACTACTAGTAAGGAGCTCTGGTAGTGTAGTGGTTCCGAATTGGGCTGCGAACCACAAGGTCAGCAGTTCGAAACTACCAGCTGCTTCGTGGGAGAAAGATGAGGCTTTCTGTTACTGTAAAGACGTACAGCCTTGGAAACTCTGTTCAGGGTTGCTATGGGTGGGACTGACTTGACGGCACTTAACAACAACTACTACTACAACAAGGGGCTCTGGTGGCATACTGGGTTATGTGATGGGCTGCTAGCTCCAAGGTCAACAGTTCAAATTCACCAGTTGCTCCTCAGGAGAAAGATAAAGCTTTCTGCTCCCATAAAGATTTACAGCCTTAGAAACACTATACAGGGTCACTACAAGACAGAACCAACTCAATGGCACACAACCACGACCACCAAAACAAATACTGTATCTACTTTAGCTGTGTTTGCCACTGGGTCCATTCTGACTCATGGCAACGCCACGTGTGCCTAGTAAAACTGTCCCACATTGTTCACATTGTTTTCAAGACTGTGATCTCTCAGGAGCACATGGTCCAACCTGTCTTCTGAGGTAGCTCTCGGTGGACTTGAACGGTCATCCTTTCTGTTAGTAGTCGAGCGTTTAACCCAGGGACGTCTACATCTTTTGCTAGTTCCTATCTGTTAGGTATTTGATGAGGGCCAGTCTTGATGCTAAGAAAGTATCACCCCAATGAAGTAGATTCTCATCATTTTACATGGGGAAACCAAGGCTGACAGCATTCAGTAACTTGTCCCAAAGTCACACAGAAAGTGAGCAGCAGAGCCAGGATCCACAGCGAGGCCAGTCTGGTGCCAAAAACACTGTCAGAAAGCAAGCATCACTACCCCAGAAGAGAGATGAGGAAACACACTAGGAGTAGTAAGTGACTCGCTGCAAGCGATGCATTTTGTAAAGGGGAGAATCTGAAACCTAATCTATGTCTTCTTGCTCCAAAATCTAAGCTGCCTGTTTCCGTATGACTGCCTTCCAATCTGGCATTCTATTTCTGAAAAATAAGCCACTGATGATTGTATGTCGTACAGTTCTTTTATACCCGTGGGTCATATGTCACGAGGACTTGGTCAGTTTGCCTTTATCAAATGTTTTTATATGCCAAATAAGATGCAAGGGACAAAATATACTTTATCGTCCATCTGCCCCAAACACAATTATACGTGTACTTATAAAATGATGTGGGAAAAGCATGACCACCAAAATGTTAACAGTAGTTATCTCAGGATCATGATTCTAATTTCCTTCCTCTTTAACTGTATAGACAGTTTGATATTTCTTTAAACAGAGAAGACATACAAGTTTCAATTTACCTTTGTTCCAATGACTACCTGCCTATCACCAGGTACAAAAAATGAGCAAAGCGCATAATCACAGTTCATTGTGCGAATACACTGCAGCGTAGACCTGTAAGAAAGAAAAAAATAAAGAACTCATATGCTAAGAGAACATGCTTCCCCATTTTACAGCTAAGTTTTTTGTTTCAGTACCACACACAGCATGAGGGATCAGCATGAGGGAAGGCAAAAATCTTAACAACCCTTGGCTCAAATGCAATTATAGTCAAGTAAGAAAACATGATACTGAACTTATCTTTATTTTCTTTGTAGGGGCCTCCTAATCCCCAGGAACTGTAGGGCAGAGGACAGCATCTACTAGACTTAGTGAGGCCCAACCGGATATCACCATGAACTAAGCCATGGCCTACAGGTCCAATTATCATTATCTCTTCAAGCTAAATTCATTTTCTCGGACCACAAACATGCATCAACTCAAAACGGTGCTGGAAAGGTAACATTGAACACAACAGTATAGGTCCCTAACCTCATAAAGCTGAAGAGTCTCTGGAGGGAATAAGTGAAGACAAACAATATGCACCTAAATATGTGGTATATCAAACGATAAAAGTGCTTTGAAGAAACACGATGCTGAGGTAAGGAAAAGGAGGATGGTGCCAGTATTTTCACGTGACAAAAAGACAGGGAGAAAGTCTGCATATAAATGGAAGAAGATTGTTCCAAGCAAAAAGAATACCAAGCACAAGTGTAAGGTAGGTGCATCTTGCTGTGTTCTGTGGCACCCATAGAACAGACAAGGAGAACAGCAGAGATACAGTCTGTAAGGACTATTATAAAAAGATGACACTGATTACTTCGTTGAGAAAAGACTATGGAGGGACAAGCAGGGAGACAAGCTAGGCGGTTGTTAATTTACTGAGATGGTGAAGTCTTAGGAACAGCAGGTTAGGGGAGTGCTGGAGAAATAAAGATCATGTTTAGTTTGGGACAGAAAAGTCTGACATGCTAATCAGACATGCCTAAGGATCCCAGTGGTGCAGTGGATTAAGCATTGTGCTACTAGCCAAAAGGTTGCCAGTTTGACCCACTAGCAGCTCTACATGAGAACAATGAGGCAGTCTGCTTCCTTAAAGATTTATAACCTTGGAAACCCTAAGGAGTAATTTTAAACTGTCCTAAAGGTCACTGAGCCAGAACAGACTTAACTGCAGTGGATTTTGGTAATTAGCCACCCAAATATTCAACAGGAGAGATGAAGCCTTGAGATATAAACATGCATTACCAACACGGAGATAGTATTTAAAGCTACAGGATGGAAGGTCAAAATGAGTGCCCACAAAAAGGTCCAAGGATCCATCCTGGAGCAGCCTACATACTTGTAGAGGTCATTTAAGAGAGTGACAAGAGCTAATACGTCATGGAAACGTGAAGATCACTATTGAAATAATAAGAGCTACTTTGGTGAAATGGTAGGAGCAAAAGCCTGCTTTAATACAGATGAAAATAATGAAGGAAAGAAAGCAGAGACAGTGTAAAAGGGGAAGTAGCTACAGAAAAATGTGGGGATGAGAGGGTTAGTTTTTATTTTAGAACAAGATCATAGCAATTTTGCATAATGATGGAATGGTCCAATAGGAGAGAGGGAAATTGCTTGACAGAACAGAAAGAGCCACTCATGACGAAGCTTTGACTGGCTTAAGGTCAGAACATCAACACAGTTACAGGAAGAAAAGCAGTAACAACTTGGGATGTTGGTAAGTGCTTTGGCATCAGTTCCAACCCATAGCAATCTTATATAGGGTTTCTGAGGAGTGACTGGCGGGTTTGAACCACTGACCTTGTGATTAGCAGTCCAGTTGTTGTTGTTGTTAAGTGCTGTCGAGTTGGTCTGGATTCATAGTGACCCTATATAGGATTTCTGAAGAACGGCTGGTGAGTTTGAACTGAAAACTTTGAAGTTCAAACTAATCTTGTGATCAACTGTGTATCCAGTGCCACTTCAAAATAGTCCAGTAAGAGTATATAAATGTGCTCTTCTAAATATTTCAATGTTCTGCACTTAATTTGTATGCAAGGTCATCTATTTAAAGGTGCTAAAGGTATTTCAAGCTCTGGTGGTGCAGCAAATAAAGCACTGGGCTGCTAACGGAGACATCAGAGGTTCAAATCCACCAACTGCTCTCAGAAGAACGATGAAACTGTCTGCTCCTATAAAGATCCACAGCCTAGGAGACCCTACAGAGCAGTTCTGTTCTCTCCTATTGGGTTACTATGTGTCAGAGATGACTCAAGGGCAGTAGGACTGGTTTCTTTTGAATGTGTGTGGAAGTACTTCAGGTTTGAGGAGTGAACAGAAGGTATATAATGTCAGCCATTTAGGACAGTAAAAGAATGAATGAATGAGAAATAAGGCAACATTTATGGACACTACTAAGATTTACTCTGAATTTAAAAAGGAGGCAGTAATGTGTTTTTCTCTAGCCAAGTACAGTTCCAAGCTCCAGACATTGACTATGCCTGCCTTTTTGCACCAAAATTTAAAAGGCAACTTTTCTTACCTTAAGCTCCATAAGCTTATAACCAAAATGCACTCAAGATACATTTTGAAGGAATTGTAGATCTTAGAAAGTTAATTTCTAGCCATCGAATTCAAAGGGAAGAAAACACCAACGGATGAAGCTATGGGAAATGTCACTTCACAAACCTGTTCCATATCTTAATGGAATCAGCTGCTGCTGAAAGGACAGCAATGTTGTCGGAACTGAATGACAAAGTCCTCACATCACTGCGATGACCCCCGATGGTGATTCTGCTTGTCCTGACAGGCTGAGGTGTTGGTGCAGATGGATTCAGGGAATACAATTCCACCAGGTTGTTTTGCAGCAGAAAGACAGCCTTTAAATCTCCTTGAGGTGAATGAATCAAGTCAAAGGATCTACATGAGAGAATATGAACATCAAATGGTCTAGCCATCAGCTTAGTTCACAAGATAAACTTCCAGGGAATGTCTGCTTTGAAATGTCCTCAATCAATATGAAGTCTGAGCAAGTGCAAGGAAATTTAAAATGAGGGAGTGATCTAACAGACTTCTTAGTTCAAGAAACTTGGGTTGAGGACCTGGTTCTGGCATATACAAGCGGGCTTCAAAAAGTTTGTGGAAAATTTCCATTATCTTTTAATTCTATTTTTCCACAAACTTTTTGAAGCACACCTCCCCACCCCAACATATGCCAACCTAGAAGTTAATAGATGGGTTATCAGATGATATTCCTTCAGGCTAAAAAGCATCTGTCAACCTAGGCCTCCATTCTCACATATTCTTTACACAAACAGCAATAATTACAACAATAAAAAAACCTTTATAAATTTCACAAAATTCCTAAATTCCAAGAATGAATAGAATATAAGACTGCTTGTTTAAAATTTGGATACAATACACTAACTCTGCCTTGTTATATTTTTAGGAAGCTGCATTTCTAGAAATGTCTCCCTAACTAAACTGAAGTGAACTTTTATGTATCTTCTTGTCAACACTCCTAGTAACAGAACAAAATTACCTCTTTCTTCAATGTGATACTTTTATCAAATATTTCAGCAAAAATGACTTTCCGTTTCTCCTAAATGCTTTCTGCTCTATGCTAACCCTATTTCTTTAAACTATATCAAGTGATATTGTTTCACAGGGAGAAAGTGGGAAAAGTGCCGTTACACTGTGGAGATTGTAATCTGTATCACAAAACAAAGCCTGTATGAATTGAATGGATAACCAATTTGCTCTTTAAGCTTTCACTCAAGTCACAATAACTTAAAAAACAAACAAAAAATAATAGTGTTTCCACACTCAAAAACCTACTATACTAATCATTTTTTTTAGGTGTGTCCCAGTTTCTCACTCTTAATAAATAGTGGTAATAAAAATATAGAACAGTTCCTACCAGGACAGAATAAACCAGTTTCTCTTGAGGTTGATGCTAACTCTTGAGGTTTAGTTATATAGTTTGACTTTGTTAGTTTTTTTCAATTGAAATAATACCTCTAACAACTCTGAATGGATTTACTTAAGACCCAAAGGAATTTCCATGCACTCATCAAGCAACTTCGAGGATGCCTTCTGTATTCTTGCTACTGAACACAAAAAGGCCACTCTGACACACACAGCTCCTGTCCTCCTGGAGCTGACTATTTCCCTGTTTGTACTTTCTATAAGTGACCTTAAATTCTTTTTGCATGTGAATATACACATTGGCAGCAGAAAAAAAACGTAAATGAATATCTGAAAGGGTATTATACTAATCCAAATAGGAGAGAAGGCATCTATGGTGAGGGCGGTAGGTTCAGACTATAACACAGGTGTCTCAGATCACTGTTCCCAAGTACAAAATCCATACAGACAGCTACAAGCGTCCCCCCCGAAAAAGAGAACCTGGTAGTTTATGATCTCTATGACTTGACATTGTATTTCTACTCACTTGATTTTGGCGGAAGTTTTTATATTAGTCAGCCGTTGGATTTCATCTTTTAGACTCATTTCAACATTGACTTCGAGGTCTTCCTCTTCTCCTTTGCAAGAATTTAATCTGGGGGGGGGGGCGGGCAATAAAGTGTATCATACTTCAGTACAAGTTTTGGCTCTGATATCATTAAACTGTGATCCTAAGAATTTAACTTAACCACACAGGTTTCCCAAGAGAGTAAAACAGTGTGGTATATGCAGAAACACTCTGTACACTAGAATGTCATACAGTACAAAGTAATTTTGCACTTAACGAATACTCTCAATAAATGCATTCTGAATGCTTTCACTATAATATGTCCTCGGACAAATTCTTTAAGACTTGATAAAATATCAACAATTATAATAGATTTCTACAGTTATAATGACTTATTTCAAGGTTATACTGACCCAAACTCTATCTACATGAAGGGCTTCAAAAAGTTCTTGGAAAAATTCCTTTATCGCTTAATAATTTTTCCACAAACTTTTTGAAACCCTCTTGGATGTGTCTAACCAGTCTTTCTCTTCACTAAAAGGTTAGCATTATGCAGCCCAGCTTAACTTTCTTCCTCTAATAGGTTGTTGCCATTAAAAATTCACTGTTACCATAAGAATTAAGTAGGTAGGATTTTTGTTTCTTTTTAATCTATAGTTTATTCTAGTTCTGTGTGGCTTTGACACTATGACTCAAAAACATATTATTTGTAAAGATGTGGAGACCAGAATTTCAAAATTTGATTACTAGTATACCACAAATTCTTCCGACTTTAAACAATAACTGGTAATAGAGAATATCTTTAAAGCCAGTTTTTCTTTCAGAAAAATGTGACCCAGCTATGATCCTTCATCATTACAAAAACGTACTTTGCTTTCTTTCTAGCTTTCTTCATCTTCTTATCCATTTTCTTCTGAATTTCCTCTTTGGAAAGAATACAAAACACTTCTAGCATAGAGTCAGTTCCCTAGAAAGGCAAAAAGTTGATGTGAGTTCATGGTGTTGTGTTAGGTGTCACTGGGTTAACTTCAAATCACAGCAACCCTGTACAGGGTTCCAAGGTTTTAAATCTTTGTGGGCGCAGAAAGCGTCATCTTTCTCCCATGTAGCAGCTAGTAGGCTCAAACTACCAACCTTTGGTTAGTAGTTCCATGAATATCTTCCAGAGCCCCCTTTTAGCTCATTCCCAGTAAGACATAAACAAAAAGAAATCTTCCCTTGCCCAGCTTACTAGCTGTATTACCTTGGACCACTTATTTCTCTGAATCTGTGAGGACTACCACAGCCTACTACAGTGTTGCTATGAACTCTACTTAGGAAAAGCAAGCATTAGTAAATGCTTACTATATTTCCAATAATGGGAAGTATAATAGTAATTATTATTTTATGATAGCATGTGTTATGTATTATTAAGAGAGTCAAAGAAAAAAGCATTGCTTCACTACACATGAAAGCACGAGTATCTGAAAGAGAAGCCTAGTCCTTGCATTTTCTAGCTGGTTGGTTACTCACATGGCAAGCAAGAATTCTGCCTGTCTTGTCAACGGCAAGGTTCACAACTCTGTCCCTTCGTTCCCGCATTAGGGAACCAGCTTTTCTGCAGGAAAGGATGCGCTAGAAAGGAAGAAGGTTATATGTAAGTTCTGCTGAACTTCTGAAAAGACAGGTTTCCAAGAAATGCCACTGACAAAGATGAGCTAGTCCCTAAAAAGATGGGCAGAAATGCAGAATTTTAAATCTGCAATCTGCATTATTCATTTCTGATAGAGATGAGAAACAAAAATTATTTACATCCTCAGGAACTTCGTCCAGTTCCAAGGTACCATCCTCTGCATCACGTATGTCCTGTATTCCTGAGGATGACCCTTTGATTTTCTTGGGTTCTGGCTCTTCCAGGTCTTCAATCTGTTAGATAAAAATGGGGGAATATCAGCTGAAGTAATGTGTTCCAGAAGACGACTCTTAACCACAACAACATAGGATCTTTTTCTAACTGTATCTCTCTGATCAACCCTCTTCTATGGCAGGACATATATTAGAATACATAAAACTGACCACATCAAATACAAACAAAACATTGTTCATTAAGCTATTTTTAATAAATGAGAACAACTGTTTAGTAATGAAGCAAAAAATAAAACACTCAACCTTCATTAACTTCAAAATCTCTGCTCCTAGGTTAAAGGCCCATCATATTCTAGAGGGAAAGATTCACACTGGCATTAAGATCTGCAAGAGATGTTACACTTTCTCCTTAAAGAAAGATAAACCCTAGTCTCTTAACAGTCCATTAAAATGGCTCCTGGACACCACCACACACTTAACTCCAACTCACACAAGATCCTTAAGTATCTGTAGAAAAATGAGGAGATGAGAAGGTTATAGATCTTCTTTTCAAAATATATGAGGGGATTTCAAAAAGTTCATGGAAAATGACATTAACAAGGGAATTTTCCCATCAACTTTGTGAAGTCACCTTCGTACACATTTAGAAACACAAAACTCAAACAGATTTTTGAGGGGACAGGGTAACAGACACTCTGAAGTCCATTCATGGATACCCCAAAGTCCAAGACTATCAGGCTAAAAAGGCCCACAAACTGAAACATCAGCATCACTGGAAGCTAGAAGTCTAAAGTTACTCTTCTGAACTCAAATAAAACATTGCAGTGAAGCATAAAATGAAGAAAAACTTTAAGAGTTGCAGGTTATTAGTGTAAAAGAATTAATTGTAGAGTTTTATGAAGTGTAGCTCTGGTAGCGTAGTGGTTATGAGTTGGGCTGCTAACCTCAGGTTCAGCAGTTTGAAACTACCAGCAGTTCTGTGGGAGAAAGATGAGGGTTTCTGCTCCTGTAAAGATTTACAGCCTCGGAAACCCTATGCAGGGTGGCTGTGAGTGAGAACCAACTCCATGCCGTCCCCCTGCTGTCTCCCCCCTACCCCATATATGAAGGAGCCTATGAAACTGCTGCAACCGAGCATGGCCTGTGATCGGGAAGCAGAAATACCTCTTGCAGATAGGTGATGTCCCAGGCTCTCAGTTCACTGTCTGAGGCCCCTGTGATGAGTCGCTTTTCTTCTGACACCAGAACCAAACCCCACACCTAGAGTAAACAAGATACTGTAAGAGAGTCCAGGTTAATTATGTGACAGTCCAAAAGTCTAAACTAACTGTAGTGGAAATGCCTTTGGCATTTTCACAAGGTCTTAAGAGAAGGCAAACCCTGAGAGAAATCATCAAAACAATAGCAGAATTGTGCAATGCTAGCACTCTTCTCATTTATGTTTGTTTGTTTTTTTAACTTTTGATTGGGATTTAGGTGAAAGTTTACAGACCAAATTGGTTTCCTGTTCAATAGTTCCTACATACTTTGCTGTGACACTGATTACAATCCCAACAATATAACAGCACTCTTCCCACTTCCTGCATGTGGTTACTATTTCCAGCCTTCCTCTTCCCTACCCATTGCTGTCTTTGGAACTTTAGTCCTGAGCAAATGCTGCTCTTCTGATCTAGTATGACTGATTTTTCTAAGGAGTATGTACCCTCCTCTCCCAGGGTTACTGTTCACCTTTTAGGGCTATCTCTTACTTGGCTGTAACTAAACCATGAGGTGAGCCTAGTACCAAGCCTAGTGAGTACCTAAGGGTTACAGTCTCAGGGGTTCTACCAGTGTTTGCTGACCAATGAGCCTGGTCTTTTTGACGACTTTGAGTTTGTTTCACATTTTCTCCCACTCTGCTCTGGACCTCCTGTGAGCCTTTCCAGAGCAGCTGTCGGTGGTAGCTGGGTACCACCTAGCTCTTCTGGACCACTTTCTCCTTTTTAAACTTAGATTTTGGCTGCACAGGATAAATCCTAACTCTAGGATCCATTCAAATCATGTTTTAGGAAGCATGTATTTCTGTTTTCAACAATTCCTAGTAAATAAAAGATGCTCAGTATTTATCTAAGGAATAATTTCCAAGCCTGAATTTCTAAGAATTAAACGATGAAAATGACAATGTTGCTGCAAATCAACAAAGACTCTCTTCTGCTTTCCTCCTCATTAACTCCAGATTAGTTTTGAAAGCCTGATGGGAACAAAGCACTGAGGAGAATGCCGGGACATGTAAAATATCTCTGAGATCCACTGAGGAGAACTGTGCTCTGGTAACCATTAGGAGAATAGCTACAATTTGTTGTTTACGTATCCCTAGGCCTAGTGCTGTACATGCAGTACCATCAAACCTTTTTTATAATCACAGAAGTGTACACTTGTTCTTTAAACATAATGAAAAGCGAACATTAAAAAGTATCCAAGGCCAAATTTTACTAAATGCTACAGCAGTTTTATCTGTTCCAGTCACTAGTACTTCTGCAGTTACACCAAACCTAAGACAACATGTGATTATAGTAAGTCCTATGAAAATCGGAAGAGAAGAAAAGCATCTTCTCCCTTTGTGGCCATCCTTTCCCTGGACTCAGGGCCCACCCTATACTTACCTCTGTTCGGTGGCCAACCATTGTTTTGAAGCAGTGTTGGGTATCGAGGTCCCACCATTTGACCACGGTATCTTTCCCACTAACAGAAAGAAAATTGGGGAGAGTGACATTTAGGAAGAAGCATTGAACTCAAAGGTTTTCTGAAACTCAGGGTTTTCTGAAATGTAAACATCTTAATAAAAACATTTTACCTAGGATGCTTCGCATCAGAGTACCAAAGAACAAAGAACTTGACTGAACGCTGCTTCTTCCCATCATTTCCAACATTACCATTCTTTCAGACTGTCTAACATGGAAACATCTTACACCTCTCCTAGTCCCTGTCTCCATGCCCAGGTGGTAAGTCTATGTTTGTGAAGTCTCTAAGCCTTGAACCCTCCTGTCCATTTTTTTTTTCATTTCTCTTCTCTTCCTTTTTTTTTTTTTTTTAAGTTTTTATTGTGAATTGAGTGACAGTTTACATGGGAGACCATCGGTTTTACACTCATCCTATCATATTTTGTTTCACTGCAATGATTTCAATCCCCTCTGTGCATCATCCTTCAACAGTATATGCTTCTCTTCCCTGTATTTTCTGGGTTTTGTTTTTTTTTTTTGATGTACACAAAAACACTCAAGAATAGATAATCATTTAAACAACCAAAGGGCACATTCTGCAAGCCTGCCTCATGGCTGCCAGCACACCGCCTTTCTGTTTCCATGAGTTTGGAGTCCTCAGCTGCTCTGTCTCTCCATGTCCTCATCTCTGGTGTCACTGCTTCTCTGGACAGAGTCCCACATTCCGCTTGTGCTCTTCTCCCTTGATGGTCCTAGGGTTCTCTGTTTCTGGAAAGTAAGATTAACTACTCCCCCGATTTTGTCACAAAACTTATACCTTTACAGTTGTGACAGTTGCAATTAATCATAACAATTACTCACTATCAAATCATAAGAATCTTATCCCCATCTCCTTTCATCAGACCCATCTAGACAAGATGAAAACTATTCAGTGAGGATTCTACCTTTCCCCCGCATTCTTAAACTAAACACTCTCTTGAAAACTTGTAAATCAGTCACTTTGTGCCTTTATTGCCCCCTCATTTTAGGTAGCCAATGTCTAAGTTGCCTGTCCCTATCAATCCTGTGCACAGAGGGGTTAGGATTGATACTTGATGTGAAGACTCCTTCCTGCTTAGTTGGTATTTTGAGCTACTTCATCCATGAGCATAGGTCAAGTTCATCAAATTGCAGCAATTTACATTTGTTTCCTTTATCAAGTTTTTCATCTTCCTCTAGTCTTCTCATCCATTTTTGTATCCAAAGCTTAATTTAAGGTCCCTATGTGAACCAGAGAGTCACCAGCAGCTCCCCAGAAGCCCTATATAGGGTCGCTACGAGTAGGAAAAGGAGTTCTGGTAGTGTAGTGGTTACGAGCCGGGCTACTAACCTCAAAGTCAGCAGTTCAAAACTACTAGCTGTTGCATGGGAGAAAGATGAGGCTTTCTGCTTCCATAAAGATTTATATACAGCCTCGGAAACCCTGTGCAGGATCATTATGAGTCGGAACCGACTCCACGGCATTCCACTACCATGTGTAGGAAAAGATTTGATGTTACTTAACAACAACATCTGAATTATTTAAACCTGGTCTCCCTATCCATTCCTCTTCTCTCACATTTTTAAAATTTACACTGTGCCTCAGTGTTGTCTGTAGAGTGAAAATCTGGCACTTCAGCACTATTTTCAAACTTTCTATTAACTGACCCTTCATTGCCCAAATCAATGGGCTCTTTTCCTCTGCTTTAAATGCCTCTTCCCTCTCTTCATTAATATAAATCCAAAACAATCTTCCTTCATCCTCAAAATGAGTGAGGAAACAAGCATTCGATTTATAAAGCCTTTTCCTACAAAGGTTACACTGTTTGCTGCCCTTTGTGTTCCCTAAGCTGCAATCAATCAATTTCTACCAGAGTTGTTGAGTGACTCACACAAAGTCTGTGTATCTGAACAAGACACAGGAACGTAGCTGCATCCTATCCCACAGGAACTATGCCACCAGTACTAGTCTCCACTGCTCCTTCATAACTTCTGTTCCACTGATTCTGACTCTGTCAACTTTACACGTACTGAGTAGAATGACTCCATAGGATCTTTTAAGGTATAACCTTTCAGAAGCAGATTGCCAAGGCCTGCCTTCTGAAACACATCTGAGGAATTTGAAGCACCATGCTTCTGGCTAGTTGTTGTTCATAGCAACCCTGTATAGGGCTTCCAGGGAGCTGCTGACAGGTTTGAACTGCTGACCTTGTGATTTGCAGTCCAGCGCCACACCAGGAGTCCATAAATAGCTAGTAGTTAAGCACATGCATTATGTTTACCCATAGTAGATTGCTGGTATTAAATCATTTTTTACCTAAACAAATGGAAATTTCAAATGGTTCAACCTAACAGATGTTCAGAGGGGCTAAATACGGAGAATATCTCTTCTCAATAAAAATGCTAAATTGAACACTTAGGATTCACATCCACAGCTGGTTTTCTAACTCTGACTGACAATCCAGAAGCCAGACAGAGATAATTCTTTAATAGGTATATCAAAAGCTTAACAGAAGGTTAAGGAGCAAGGGAAGGCTGGTACTAAGGAAAAGGAGTGACAAATCAGAACGGGGACTAAAAACATGACAAACCACCCTGAAGTGCTCTTATGATACTGTATGTGAATAAGGAAGAAGAAAGAAGAGGGAAACTAACACAGCAGCGTGAAGAAGAGTAAAGAATGATGCAAATTCCCTCTTCTGAAACATCTCCAATGAAGCAGCCTAGAAGAGACCTGGGAAGGGAACCACAGTTCTTTACCTGCTAACCAGCAGATTCTTTTCTCGTAGAAACAGCACTTGGGTGATGGCGTCTTTGTGCCCTTTCAAACGGTAGAGGCCGCTCTCATTGATCACATCCCACACAATAATATCTGTGTCCTGAAGGGATCAAATCATACAGAAGAAAAATCATTTTCTCTACCACACAGACCTATCTTGACTACCCATGGGGTGTAATATTTGTACTACTAAAGCAAAGCACCATCCTCATAGTAAGTTTGGAAAGTCTATGTGGCGTTGCAGGATAATGCACTGGACTGCAAACTCAATTTGAACCCAACATCCGCGGTTCAAGCTCACCAGCTGCTCCTTGGACTCGCTTTGAGTTGGACAGAATTGACTCAACGGCACTTAACAACAATTATTCCAGTCTTCTTCATATATGTATCAATGTTGTTTTCTGATTAGAAAACTGAGGTATTACTCCTACCATTTTATAATCCTTTCCACTTAATGAATTTCCATTTGCTACATCATTATAGTATTCTCACTTTTAATGATCATAAAATAATCAATCCTAAAGATATACCATAATTTATTTAAACTTCCTATTTTAAGACATTTAGGTACTTCCAATTTTCTATTATAACAAAAAGCAATTGCTGTCAAGAAACTTCAACTTATGGTGACTACGTGTCAAAGTAGAACTCTGAGCTCCAGTTTTCATGGCTGTTTCTGGGGAAGTAGATCGCAGGCCTTTCTACTGAGTGACCTCTGGGTGGACTTAAATGTCCAACCTTCCAGTTATCGCCAAAGTACCACCCAGGGACTTCTCTATTATAAATCTGGCAAAATGAACATTCTTACATGTAAGTCTTTGTATATGTCTTTGATGAGAACATTAAAGAGTTCTTGGGCTGAAAGGTTATGTCTCTGACCCACCATCAAAATGATCTCCCAAGAACAATGCACCCATGTGAGGGTCCACCAGAGACTTTTATGACAATGTGAGTCTCCCCAATTTCTTCAATAACTACTGCCAATTTCATGAGTGAAAAATGAAGCTTTGACATTTATTTTAATTTATATTTCTAATTACCAATGAGAACTGTTTTACATGTCTTTGTAAACTGACAATTCACGTCTTTGTCTTTCTCTTGATGTTTTTACTTGATTGTTACTAATAGATGAATGTTACTAAGCCTTTATATACTAATAGTCCACCAAATAGTCAATTGTCTAAAAGTATGTTGTTTAGTGTCATCGAGTCCATTCCTACTAACAGCAACCCTGTATAGGGTTTCCAAGGAGTCCTGGGTAGGGCACTGTAGGTTAATGTGCTGGATTGCAAAGTCAGTTTGAACCACAAGTTCGGTGGCACTTAACAACAATAGGGTTTCCGAGGAATAGCTGGTAGGTTTGAACTGCCAAGCTTGTGGTTCACATTCCAGTGATGAACCTATAGCGCCACACCAGGAGTCCTAAGTATTGATATGTATAAATAATAAATACATCATTTTCCTACTCATCATAAATATAATTTTAAAACATGCTAATTTGTAATATAAAAGTGAATTTGCTTCGGGGATTCCTGTTTGTAGTTATCTATTTTGGACAGATAACACTGATATCTGGAATACCTTTATTAGTGTCTCTCAAAATTTGGGATTTTCTGATTCATTTATTTTTCCATGTTTTCAATCATTCGGTCAAGTTCTTAAAAACAAGCAAAAAAGCGCTGGAATATTTATTTAAATTGTTTTAACTCTATAAATTAATCAGAAAACAGTAGTACCTTTTAACACTTTGTTAGCAAAGCAGTTAGAACTGCAAGGTCCGTGATTCAAGCTCACCAGTTGCTCCTTGGAAACCCTACACAGGGTCGCTATGGGTTGGAACTGACCCTATGGCACTTAACAACAACTCAAGTCTTCTATTATATTCTTCAACAAAGTTTCACATTATTTTCATGTCTGTTATTTAATGCTCTCTCATGAATGGAATCTTCATGTTAATTTTCAGACTTAGGACTTTAGAAATAAAAGAGAACTATTGATTTTAGCAAAATAAGTATCATTTTGTCTCTTCTATTCCAGTTTCTCTTTTCCTTTCTTTTGGACAGCATCTTAGTTGTTATCAAGGGTGTCCGCCTCTTGCTGTGTGGCACTGTGGGTTAATGCGCCAGACTGCAAAGTCGTTCAAACTGCAAGGTTGGTGGTTCAAACTCCCCAGCTGTTCCTGGGAAACCCTATACAGGGTCGCTATGGGTCAGAATTGACTCGATGGCACTTAACAACAACAACATGCCAGTTTCTCTTTTTCCTTTGTTGTGGATAGCATCTCAATTGTTACCTAGGGTGTCCTCCTCTTGCTCTCATATTTTCATAAGTTTTTCAGATTATGACAGGAAATAAAATGAACCTCCCAGTTCATACCCATTCTCCTCAGTCTAGTTCTACAAGATATACTATTTTGGGAGTCCTTGTGTGGCAATGTAGGACAAACATTGGATTGCTAAACCATAAGGTTGACAGTTCAAATCTACCAGCTACTTCTTGGAAATACTACACAGGGTCTCCAGGAGCCAGTACTGACTTGACAGCACTTAACATCATATTACTTTGGGTCCTAAAGAGCTCCTTGTTTTATCCAACAAGTTTGTGTGTGTACCAAAGTCTGGGCACCTGACACAGGTCTCACCTTGGACCCAGAAGCCAGCCTGCCTCCTAGCTGATCATACTTCAAGGTAGTGACAGCTGCTTTATGTCCATTGAACGTCACATTTCCTTCCCCACTCAGGAGACTGAAGATTCGGATGGACCCATCCTCATAACCAACGGCTAAGTGTAGTCCATCTGGGCTGGGGCATAAGTAAGTGACTTCTTGTTTAAGCCCCTGAAGGATGAGGATCTGAAATGGTAAAAAGCAAAATCAATGTAGAAAAGTGAAGCATGAGAAGGGAAAAGTGGGGGCACAATAAAATGAGAGCATTCACCATCCCAAATCAGTCTTGGAAATAATGAAATTCCACAGTCCATCTCAAGTTTTTTAGTATAGGAAATATTATCTGTCCTGGTCACTGAAATGGCCTGCTGCTGTTGCTGTTAAAGGTCATGGAGTCAGTTCCGATTCATCGTGACCCTGTATAGAGTTTCCAAGGGGTGACTGGTGCGTTGGAACCGCCGACTTTTCAGGTAGCAGTCCAGTGCTTATCCTACCTACAAAAGTTCCAAAGGCATATGGCGATACCAGATAATTTTCAATGAAACATTATACAACCATCCTCACTTTACCTGAGTTGCATTTTACGAGAAATTAACAAGCATGGTACAGAGTGTTACAGTGATTTTACACCAAATGACTGGGTGGCAACAAAGACTCAAACAGCAAACTCTTGGGAGTCACAAAAAGAGTGGACAAGAGCAAAATACCCAAATATGCTTTGGCAGAAGTGGTGAGGCTTAGGAAATTTAAAGTCACACAAATATCAAAGCCCAGATTAATGCTTAGGTTTCATCTGTATAAGCCCCAAAGATTCAGTTTGGAAAGCAGAGTCATATTAGTTTTAAATAACTGTTAAATGGCATCAAGTTAATTTCAGCTCACAGAGACCCTATGAGACAGAAGAGAATGGTCCCATACTGTTTCCTAGAGTGTAATCTTTATGGAAGCAGATCGTCTTATCTCCCACAGAGCAAACTACTGATGGATTTGAACAGCTGACCTTTCAATTAGCAGCCAGACATTTAATCATTATACTACCAGGGCTCTCATTGAATAGCGATGTGGGTTAATAGACTGGACTGCAAGGTTGTTTTGAACCGCAAGGTCGGTGGTTCAAGCTCACCAGCCGCTCCTCAGAAACCCTATACAGGGTCGCAATGAGTCGGAGCCAATTAACAGCACTTAACAACAACATCACGCAAGTTGTTATGGACAAATGAGTTGATTCCGACTCATTGAGACCCTGTATAGGGTTTCTGAGGTTATACATCTTTTCAGAAAAAGAAAGCCTCATCTTTCTCCTGCCAAGTGGCTCAAAGGGCTCAAGCCACAACCCTGTGGTCAGAAGTCCAGTGCTTATCCTACAAAGCCACAACTAGTGAGAATTGGTAAAGAGGGAGGGAAAGGACTAGGAATAAAATAACAATTTTTAATCATTAAGCACATGGTTGGTGGTTCATACCACACTATCTTGGAAAGAAAAGGCTGTCTGCTTCTTTAAGAACTTACAGTCTTAGAAACCTTATATAGGTTTACTATGAGCCCAACTGACCCAATGGCAGTAGGTTTCATTTTGGGTCCTTGAGATCTATAAGGTAAGTTTCTATTGGGTTGAGTAGAAGAATTTAGAACAGAAGAAAACAACAGAACCTGATGCCTGTATTATCTAGACCCAAAGGAAAAACGTTTCTTTTCTAGAGGCATATTGAAAAAAATTGTGCATGAGAAACAACCAGCTTTCCACTTCTGCCCTTCCATCCTCAAATAGCCATAAGTCAGTAGCAACATAGTGGACTTCTGGCTTACCTTTTCGCCTTTCCTTAAGTCCCAGATGAAAACATGTTCACAGGCTGGTACTGCCACGTAACGTCCTTTCTCACCACGAAGTGTCACAAAGACGATATTACCTTTTTGGCTGCCAATCAGACCAAAGACTGCACTGGCAACATAGCGTAGGTATTGCTTGGTAAGCCCCATGTTACGATGCCTGATTCCACGGGTGAAGAAATCTATGGATGCAAACAAACAAACAAAAAAATCAATTCTTTGGGTACCTTGGTTCTGTTAGGCCAGAAAACACTGAGTTCATCATGTGGTTAAGAGATATCAACTTGTGGCTTCTTAACCTTTGTTCAACTGTGAATAAGTCACTGATCTAAAACACATGAGCAGCTTCATTTTTGCATGCACTGCTGACTCAACATGCAATCTCTTACCCCAAGTTTCAAATTGGTCACACTGTCATGCCTACCTCACCAATATCTTCACATTACTGCCTCAGTGCAAGTGAACAGCTCACTTCCGCCTACTCAGCAACCATCAAAGGTTTGACACTGAGATTGGCAGCCTGTGACTGAAAAGACAGGCAAATATTTACCATACACCTGCTAACTGCAAAGTCGGCGGTTCAAACTCACCAACTGCTCCCCAGAAGCCCATTATACAGGGTTGCTATAAGTCAGACTCAGTTAAATCACTCTTGCCAACAGTGCAACCCCTACCATCTGAAAAGATTACGCAATCCTTGTCTACTGATCCAATCATCAGTAAAACCATTATCCCTGAACCCACATCGCTAAGGTGCAGGCACCAAAGGTGCCTGCTAAGATGATGCCCGAAGCATTATCTGAGGCATCGCCTAAGGCAGATGTCTTGTAAGACATTGCTGAATGTTCCCAGGAAACATCTTACCACTTACTGCTTCTAGACCTATGTTATCATTAAGTGCCTCTGAGTCGGTTCTGACTCATAGCCACCCTGTATAGGATGTCCGAAGAGTGACTGGTGAATCTGAACTGCCAATCTTGCAGTTCAAACTGGCCTTGCGGTCCAATGCATTATCCCACAGTGCCACCTAAACTAAAATCCCAGCAAGCCCCAAAAGCTGACCTAGAAAGAAGTATGCACTAGACTACAACCCACAACGTCAGCAATTCAAACCCACCAACTGTTCCTCAGAAACCCTATACAGGGTCACTGCGAGTGAAGACTGGCTCGAGGACACTTAACAACAAGAGATGGTAGAAAGAGTGCTGGTGGTATAGTGGGTTAAGCAATGGGCTTGAACTACAAGGTCAGCAGTTCAAACCTACAATGAAACTGTCTGCTTCCATAGTTAGTCTTGAAAACTGTGGAGCCGTTCTACCTTGTCTACAGGGTTGTGACAAGTCATAGTTGACTTGCTTGGCTGATGGCCCAAGTCAGTGGTTTTATTAAGATAAAACCACTGACTTCAAACACAGTGGGGCTCAATCCAGTGTGCCTCCAAATCACTTGGCGATCTTATGATAACACCAACAGCTACCTCTCCCCACTCCAGCCCAATTTACAACCAGTGTGAAGTAGAGAAGTCCTGGTGGCGCAGCAATTGAGCACTCAGCTGCTAACCAAAGGTCAACAGTTAGGTCAACCTCAGCCACTCTGTAGGACAAAGATGTGACAATCTGCACCAATAGACTTACAACCTTGGAAACCCCATGAGGCAGTTTTACACGGTTCTATAGGGTCACTACGAGTCAGAATCAACCAATGGGGTTTTTGGCTTAAGTATGAGGTCATCCCATCCCATTGCTATAGAGTCGATTTTGACTCATACCAGTACCACATAGGGTTTCTGAGACTAAATCTTTACAGAAGCTGACAGGGTCATCTTACTCAGCAGTTGGTGGGTTTGAACCACCAACGTTCTGGTTAATAGCCTATTGCCTAGCCCACAGTGCCACTAAGGCTCCTTTGAGTGTGGGGTTGTTGTTGTTGTTGTTGTTAAGTGCCATCGAGTCGGGTCCGACCCATAGCGACCCTGTACAGGGTTTCCGAAGGTGTAAATCTTTACGGGAGTAGAAAGCCTCATCTTTCTCCCGCGGAGCGGCTGGTAGTTTCGAACCACTGACCTTAAGGTTTGCAGCCCGATTCGTAACCACTACGCTACCAGAGTGTGGGGTACAGTCCAAGATTTCCTATTCTAACCAGTACCCAAGTGTGGTCTCTGAACTACACTTTTAAGAACTACTATTCTAATACACCCTAATCAAAATCAGAAGAGTCACTTCTTGGCACAGAAAAATAGTAGGGCAATTTAGCACAGTGTACTGAAAGATGTTACAGTTCCTTTGTGGCACTGTGGGCTAATGCGTCAGAATGCAAAGTTGTTTGAACTACAAGGTCAGCAGTTCAAGCTTACCAACTGCTCCTTGGAAGCCCTATACAGGGTCGCTATGGGTCGGAATTGACTCAAATGCACTTAACAACAACATAGTTCCTTTACTATGTCAAACTGACTGAAAACACAGAACATGGATAAAAGGCGGTAAAGGAGACTAGCGTGACTGCTCTTGACATGGCAAAATGAAAAGCATCCCCTCAAAAAAATCCATGCAATTAAAAAAAAAAAAAGCCATATTAAACTGAAGTTATAGGCTTTTTTGGAGTCCTGGTATAGCACTACAGGATACGCACCAGATTGCTAACTACAAAGCTGACAGTTCAAGCCCATGAGAGAATCTCAGAAAGGTCAGTGATTCAGACCCACCAGCTGCTCCTTGGAAATCCTATACAAGGTTGCTATGAGTTGGAACTGTCCAACTATTTATTGATCTTGTTTTTCTTTTCAGAGAAATCCACATAAACCTAGTTAAAAACCAAGAAAAGAGGATTACTAACATAGCAATAATGTTCTTAAACTGGGAAGGTGGATCAATTCTGCCAATTCCTCTTACTTTTCCAACCCCTTAATGGTGGTTGATCTTTACACTAATTAGACTGTGGCCAGTTATCTTTTCCTAACCGTATTTCCATGGCAATGATTATTTTTGCTTCAAGTGCATAGATCTTATGCCTTTTGGAGATAGCTCACAGCCTAACCTTCCTCCAGGACGACACTATCCTCGCATCCTAAACACACACACACGGAAAAAAAAAACATTCAACAAAAAGAAAGCCCAAACCCTATGATGTGGCGCTGCGGGTTAATACGCTGGACTGCAAAGTCAGTTTGAACCACAAAGTTGGTGGTTCAGGCTCATCAGCTGCTCTTTGTAAACCCTATACAAGGTCGCTATGGGTCAGAACCGACTCGATGGCACTTAACAAGAACAAATAGTATCAAATAGAACTGTCCTGGTGTGGCACTGCAGGTTAATGCGCTGGACTGCAAGGTCGGTTTTTCAAGCTCATCAGCGGCTCCTCGGAAACTTTACACAGGGTGGTTATGAGTTGGAACCGATTCGACGGCAATTAACAACAAACAAATAGTATAAAACATAACTGTTTCCAGGGTTTCCAAGGCATTTGTAATCTTCACGAAAGCAGACTATCACACCTTTCTCTTAAGGAAAGGCTAGTGGATTACAACCTCTGACTTTTTGGTTCACAGCTGAGTGCTTAACCGTTGCGCCACCAGGGCCCCCTCTTTTAACCCACAATCTCCCAGAAAGCACTGCTTCCGTGAGCTGACAAGGTGGCCTGTTGTAAAAGGGCTGTCAGATGAAGTCACTAAACCAAGAGGAGATAATGAGGGATTCAGCACACAACGCACACGGCTGCAACGTCCTGGGGGGGGGGGGGGAAGTCTGTCCATAGACAAGACGCAGCAGCGTGGCGGCGCGGCGTACCGGCGGCTCCAGCAGCTCTACCTGGTGCCTTCCAGTACAGGAATAGTCTCTGGGTACTACGATGATCACAGCAGCATGGGATCCCCAACCCTAGAGACCCGCCCTAAATACCCTCGCCTTCGCAACTGCTCACACCATGAAGGTCTCAAATCCGATCGGAACAGCCAAGCCCAATCGGTTTAGCTGAGTGCAACCAGCATACTCACCTCGGCCTCCACGAGGATCCGGGGCCACGGGTCCCACGTACAAGGCCCGCCCCTTCCGGGTCCGTTTCCCAGATCCTTCCGCCCGTCGTTTCCTTTGCCTTCTAGGAGGAAATGACGGAAAACACCGGCTTCTGATTGGTGAGCGCCGGTCGGGAGCGGAAGCCGGTGTTTCACAGCCCAGAGCTTTTGCTGTAGTCACTCTAGCTCCTCGGTTGACTTAGACTCGCGTTACTCGCTGCGGTCCTGGCAAGCTTTGTCCGGAGATGCCGTTCGGCTGCCTTCTACAGGGAGCTTAATCCACCCTGCCTGCCGCTCGGATGGGAAGGCCAGAGGACTGTGAGAGGCGGGCCGGAGGCTGGGAGGGAAGGCGGGGCCGAGCGGGCCGGGGGGTGCGGCCGGAGGCTCACGGGACACCACCCCTGCACGGGATGCTGGCAAAGACATTTAGTTCTGTCTGTTCTACGCTCTTCTCCCCTGTCTGTTGGTGGGGTTCCTCTCTCTCCAAGTGCTGGGTGACATGACATGCCGACGAGAGGAGAGGGTGTGCAGCTTGGACACCGGGGACAGTGGTGCAGTAGCCGAATAGGCGCGTGCCCTCGGGTGCAGGTGAAATGGGGTGGCCGGGATCCCTGCCAGTTGTAACGAGGCCGGTTCACTCAAGCCTAGCCCATGCAGCCGCCCTTGTGGGCTGGGCGTTCCTCGAAAAGAGAGCAGCTTGGATCAGGGTTGGTAAGCGCTGAACCCTGGTTGCTGAGTTGTCTGGGCCCCCGCTGTCCCTGGGGTGACTTTGGCTTGGTTTTGTGTGTTCCACTGCCCGGCCGCTTGAGGGGGAAGTGACCTGTTCTGCTTTCACCTTGGCTGGTGACTGAGGCTCAGGTGCTCCGTCACTAGGTGGGAGTTAGTTTTCCTCCCTTGCCGTTCTGCCCACTTTTATTCTTGGACTGTATAAAAGGTTTCAGAAATGAGTTTTGTTGTCTCTTGTTGGCAGTTATAGCCATACTAAAGAAATCCCTGCTTTCACTTATTGAACAAGACGTTCCCAGACAGAAATTAGCATTACAGAATGTGTCCTTTATTCAAGGTTGTAAGGACATCATTTCTTGAGATGATGTGCTCAGCTAGTATTCAAGAGAATTGCAATAGTAGGGAATGGAGATGAGACTGGATAGCTATAGTACTGTAGGTGTTTTAAAACAAGATCACGGTGGATTATATGAATGAGAAGAGAGAACTTTGTGAGGTAGAAGACTGTTCTTTCAAGATGTTTGGTGGGGAAAGAGAGCATTTGGTTGGGTTTGGTTACTGTCTCCTCCAGGTGATGTGCATTGTTTTATTGTAGAGAGAGGGATTTTTATAGTCTACACTTTATTTAGATGACACCTCAGATTTTCTGATTCTATGAAAAGTGTTTTACAACTGTTTGTTGTTAAGTGTTAAGTCAGTTCAGACTTATAGCAACCTTGTTTCGGATGCTGTAAATCTTTGTGGAAACAGAAAAGTCTCATCTTTCTCCTGTGGTGCAACTGGTTGAATCTCCACTCTTGTGGTTCACAGTCCAGTGCTTACCCTACAGAGCCACCACATTCCCTGTTTTACAACTATGTTACTGTTAAATGCCCTTGAGTAATTTCCGACTCATGGAGACCTTGTGTAGTGTTTCCGAGGAGCTGGCTGGTGGGCTTGAACCACCAGCCTTGTGGTTCAAACTGACCTTGTGTTGCAGTGCATTATCCTACACCAGGATTCCTTACAACTATAGATACAGATAACTGATAAAACCAAAATACCAAACTCACTGCCATCGAGTCAGTGCTGACTGACTCATAGCTATCCAGAGTAGAACTGCTCCCTAGGGTTTCTGAGACTGTAAATCTCTATGGAAGCCTCATCCTTTTTCCTACGGAGAAGCTAGTGGGTTTGAACCCTTGATCTTGCAGTTAGCAGCCCAGTGCTTACTTCCTGGCACCATTAAGGCACCTTCTTCTTGTTGTTAAGTGCCATTGAGTCGAATCCAACTCATAGCAACTCTGTAAGGTTTTGGTGGAGCAGCTGTGTTTGAACTACAGACCTTGTGGTTCACAGTCCAGTGCTGATTCTACAGCACTGTACTAAACCCAACTCAGGGTCATCAAATTGATTTCCTACTCATAACGACCCTGTACAGGATTTTTGAGGCTGTAAATCCTTCCAAGAAGAGGAAGCTTTCTCTTTCTCTCTCTGAGTGGCTGGTGGGTTTAAACCTGCAAACCTTGTGGTTAGCAGTCCAGTGCTTACCCTACAGTGCCACCAGGGATCTTTTAGATAACTGATGGTTGTTATTAAGTGCTATGCAGTCAGTTACGAATCATAGTAACCCTGCCTAGGGTTTCTGAAGAGCAACTGGTGGGTTTGAACCTCTGACTTTGCAGTTAGCAGTCCAGTGCTTATCCTGTAGCACCACACACGTACTCAATATAACTGATGTTGTCTGTTATATGCTGTCAAGTCTGGAGTCTGTTCTGACTCAGCTCCCTTATACAGAACCAAATGAAACACTGCCCAGTCCTCAAAATCGTTTTCGCGCTTTGTTAAATAGTTGTCTTGTAGACTTGGAAATTCCATCCTATCCCATTGACGGTCAATTGGACATTCAGTTGAATTGTCTTTCCACCTTCATAAACCCACTTTTGCCTCCCCTTGCACATTCATCTCAATATTCTATTTTAATGTGTCTGTTCCTGGGATTCCCTTTATCCTATTAGTTAAATCAAATCTTTGACTGGTGCTCCTTTTAATATTTGTATGAATCAAGATTTTACCTTTAAAATGTGTATTTTTTAGCATTATTAAAAGTAATGAGAAGAGACAACTACAGATGGACAAAATTTAAGAGTTGGTATCAGAATACCAGTGATGCACTGCAGGATAATGCACTGAACCACAAGGTCAGTTTTAACCGCAAGATTTCCACTCCTCGGAAACCCTAGACAGGGTCTCTATGAGTCGGAACCGACTCAGTGGCACTTAACAACAACATTCCGCATATATTATTTCAAGGGTATAAACCTAGTATCTTATTTACGTTCAAAATTGTTGCACATATTAATACTTATAATTGAAACAATACAATTCTCTAAGAGTCCTTGGGGATACAAATGACAAAAAGTAGGAGAATCAAGTGCTTCTCCTGAGGTACTCAGGAAGAAAGGCCTGGTGATCTACTTCTGGATAAAATCAGCGATTGAAAACCCAATGGAACACAGTTCTTTTCTCATATAGACGGGTTCCCTGTGAGTTGTAATTGACTTGATAGCAACTGTTCTTTTAACAGTTTTTCAAATGTATATGAAGTGTGTAACTGTATAAATGCTGACCCACCATTAGAATATATACTTTGTTTTTGAACAATGATTTTAAATTTGACCAGAACTGATGATGCGGCTTACAAACGTTTTTGTTACAACTGTACGAGGGGACTTGGGAAAGTTTGTAGAAAATTTTCTTTATCTTTTAATTCCATTTTCCCCCGAACTTTTTGATGTCCTCTCCTATTTATTATTGACGCAGCTGGCCAAGTTAGTTTTATTTTTCCATCTAAGTAGTGGGGGTGGTAGTGGTTATGTGGCGTGGAGTCGGTTCCGATTCATAGCGACCCTCTACAGAGTTTCCGAGGCTGTAAATCTTTACGGGAGCAGAAAACCTCATCTAATTAGCTTTTGAAAAAAAAAACAATCTCCCATTTTTTGGCAAATTGTTATGTAACATGATTCTTAGATTTAATAGGTTTAATGTTGAGATGGAGTTGCTGTTGTTAGCCCCCAGCTCATAGCAACCCAACGTACACAGAATGAAATGTCACCTGATCCGACATCATTCTCATGATTGGTTCCCATTGTGATCCAGTGAGTTTCCACTGGCTGAGTTTCAGAAGTACATCTCCAGACCTTTCTTCCTAATCATCTGGAAAGTGGCAGTGGATCTTAATGCATACTGAACAAAGATGTAAAGAATGGTAAACTGTAATTTACATAAAAATAATTAACACTATTGTTTTTGTTAAATGTCGTTGAGTCCTGGTGACCCTTGATAGGGTTTCCAAGGAGCAACTGGTAGGCTTAAACTACCGACCTTGCAGCTTGCAATCCAGTGGGTATTCTACAGTGCCACACCAGGATTCCTGCTCAAGTGTATGGACCAGCTTCCTTTTATTGAGGCCAACTTCCTTTTATCCATGTAAGAATTTTGAAATGAATATAAGCAGGTTAAAGGTCCTGTTTTTCTCCTTTGTTGTTGTTGTTAAGTGCCATCGAGTCAGTTCTGACCCATAGCGACCCTGTATAGGGTTTCCCAGGAGTGACTGGTGAGTTTGAACTGCCGACCTTGCAGTTCAAATGGTTTCGCAGTCTGGCACATTAACCCACAGCACCACACCAGGACTCCACAGCACCACATTAGGACTCCTGTTTTTGTCCTTAAAATGATACAATTTTAATTTTATCCAGACAAAAATCAGTTTTTTTAAGATAGTGAGTGACCCAAGGCATAGTGTCTGATTCATCCCAATTTTGAACAACAAAATCTGTTATCTGCAGGCAGTCCAATTACTTAAACTAAAGGATGACAAGATTTGTTAACATGACAGAAACTATACTGTAAAGAGAACTGTTTGTGTTTACTATATACATGCATAGTGAGTTCTGTTTGTCTTTTGGTCCATTTCCACGTAGGGATAGAAGAGAACCCTTAAGGTAAGTATGTCTAGGGAAACAGATCTGATCCATTCTGAAATCTTCTGTTTGTGCCATGTAGAACTTTTGATCCTGAACATTAATGCCTTGTGTCAGAAGCCTTTTTTGTTTTATTTTTACTTTGAGCCTATTCAAAGTACAGAAATGAGTCTCATCAGTTGATTTTGAGTGTACAGTTTTGCTCACTTAATGTTACACAAAATTATGCCTATAAATATAAATTAAGGAGTGTTGATTACAAGTCCTTCACTGGCAACTGAAAGGTTGGAGGTTTGAACCCACCAACCACTCCACAGAAGAAATACCCTATGGGGTAGTTCTATCTGTCCTATGTTGTTGTTATTGTTGTTCAGTACCATTGAGTCAGTTCCAACTCATAGTGACCCTGTATAGGGTTTCTGAGCAACTGCTGGTGAGTTTGAACTGCCACTCATGCGGTTTAAACTAATTTATAGTAACTCTATAAGTCAGACTTGAGGGCAACAGATTTAAAAAAATATATATATAGTTCTAGATTATTGTAGTTCTCCCTGCCCCAACACTCTGTTTACATTATTTCTATGAATGGGATTCTTAATGAGTATTACTATTGTGTACTGACACATGGTG